TTTTTTTTTTTATTCTTCACATTTTTGGGTCCTTGTAGGCATGCAATTTGGTTGGAGTTGTGACCTCAATGTTGATTATTCTGTGTTGTCTTTCAGGTACAACATGGTCAAACAAGGTCTTGTCAAAGAACCGGTGTTCTCATTTTGGCTAAACCGAAATGTGGAAGAAGAAGAGGGTGGCGAAATTGTTTTTGGCGGTGTTGATCCAAATCATTTCAAGGGTAAACATACATATGTACCCGTGACCCAGAAAGGCTACTGGCAGGTTACTGCTCTACGGATAGATCTTGTCTGAAATTAAAAGCTTATTTCAAATGTTATGCCTCATTTTTTAACTTTGTCTGGCTCTGTTTACAGTTTGATATGGGTGATGTACTCATTGATGGTAAAGAAAGCGGTATGTATATTTTCCAATGCTTTAAAATTTCTGAATATACTCTAATAGATAGAACTGCTAGTAATTTTCTCATCCAATTGGATAGCATATAATGATGATGTCTATTTTGATCATTGTGGTTCTTAGGGTACTGCAATGGTGGTTGTTCAGCAATTGCCGACTCCGGGACGTCTTTATTAGCGGGCCCCACGGTATGACTTTGAGTCTTCTCAAAATTGATATATATGGATCGTGAGCTTGTAGACAACTCTACAGCTGTTGGAAGTATCAGTTTTCTAACTTACTCAGACATCGTGCATAAAATCTTTTAAAGATTCGAAACTCTTCCAATTAGCACACGCCAGCATGCAAGTATTCTAATCGCATTCTTTGCGTGCTCGCAAATTTTCATTCTTTGTACGTTTCCAGACTGTAGTGGCTATGATTAACCAAGCTATTGGGGCCACTGGAATTGTGAGCCAAGAATGCAAGGCTGTTGTTCAACAGTACGGGCAAACTATCATGGATCTCCTCTTGGCTGAGGTACAGTACAGCTTAGTCGTTCAGTACTGAAAGGGATTATTTTTTTTTTTTTTCTTTTTCTTCTTCATCGTAAATCTCCAATTGGATTTTGTAGGCTCAACCAAAGAAGATATGCTCCCAAGTCGGTTTGTGCACATTTGATGGAACTCGTGGTGTTAGGTTAGTTTACAAAAGTAGATCACATAATGATTATATAATAAAAAAAAAAGAAGATATCTACCTCTTTAAGATGCAAATATGCTTATTTGGCTTTTGTATAGTGCGGGCATTCGGAGTGTTGTAAACGAGGAGGAGGACAGCTCGTCTGGATTAGGTGATGCCATGTGCTCTGCATGTGAGATGGCCGTTGTGTGGATGCAGAACCAGCTCAGGCAAAATCAGACTCAAGAGCGCATCTTGAACTATGTTAATGAGGTAGGGTTTTGATTATTATTTTCTCAAAAAGGTTGCTGATTATTATTTGCTCAAAAGTGCGAAATATTATGTCCCGTCTTAATTTTGGCGGTTCGCATGAAGCTCTGTGAACGTCTACCTAGCCCCATGGGTGAGTCGGGTGTTGATTGTGGAAGCATTTCCTCTTTGCCCACTGTTTCCTTTACGATTGGCGGCAAGATTTTTGATCTCTCCCCGGAAGAGGTATTTATCTTTAATAAACAAATAATGCTGGAATTAATTCCAGTAGTTGAAATATATTATCGACTCGGGTAGTTTGTTTATTATTTTTTTATTGTTAAAAAAAAAAAACAGTACATACTGAAGGTTGGTGAGGGTGCTGCTGCACAATGCATTAGTGGTTTCACGGGGCTCGATATCCCTCCTCCACGTGGGCCTCTCTGGTAAATGCACGATCGACTTCCCATTACTCGGTTGCCCTTTTTTTTTTTCCTGTGGTGATTGTTTTGTGATGGGTGTGAATCTTGATGTGTGTAGGATATTGGGTGATATATTTATGGGGCGATATCACACTGTGTTTGATTTCGGCAAACAAAGGGTCGGTTTTGCCGAAGCGGCTTAAGGACGAATGACGGGCGGGACCCACCCGCACTTGGAGCTGCTTTAATGTTTTTACAGTGAATGTTAATGTCTAGCATATGGTTGTTCCTCTTTTTCAGCGAACAAGACAGTTGGGCAACTTGGTACTTTCTGAGGCTGCTGCCAACAAACGCAATATGTAAATATGTGTAACTCTGTTTTAAACTTTTCTATGACAATTTGCTCTGTGGTGGGATCTTTTTACGGTGGAGTTTGAATGGTTTGGTTGGGTGTGAATTATCACACTGATTACGTGTGAGTTCATCTAATAAAATTAATACATCTTAGGAGATTTGAAATTGTTCAACACGAGAAAAGCTGATAATTACTCCAATTAAAATAAATAAATAAATACGTACAAGTACAACAAGAAAAGGGTGTATTATATCCAAGAGCGCTTGGATGAGATGGTTTGGGTCTCTTCGGGTCTCTTCCAGCTTAACCAGTGGTCTCGTGTTCGAGCTCTGGGAATGCGGCATTGTTAAAACTCTTGACGTAATGCAGCATTGTTAAAACTCTTGAGGGAGAATTTTGTCGCTCTTGTGGTCCTACCTGGCTCGATTCTGGATTAGTCGGTTCCACTGTGGATCCGGAAACCGGAAGGTTCCTGTACCAAAAAAAAAGAAAAGGGTGTATTCATTTACAATTTTAGAACTTTTGTTTCAGTACAATTTTTATGATCTTAACAGTTTAGTGTATTTAATTTGAATTTCTTAAAGTTTAAGATATCTGTTTTAATTTTAAAAGTTTTAGATTGACGAGGGTTTTTTAAGGGGCGTGCTTGTTTATTAAATAATTCGTTCAAAGTGAGTTTTTTTGTTAAATATAATTAATATTATTAAACAATCCGTTTAAATGAGTTTTTTTTATTTTTTTATTTTTTATTTTTTGCTAAATGTGATTAATATTGAAAAATGTCTAAATATGATTAATATTGAAAAATGTGGTATAATTAGTTGTTAGTGAAATTTTAATAATATACTATTAAAATTGATTTGATATAAAGGTATGAGATTAATGATTGAAAATGATAGGTAGTTAAAATTATGTGAGTATATAAATAGTGAATTAAAGTTGATGTGATATGTAAAAATAATTTAATTGTATTATTTAACTTCTAGTGCTTCTTCTATTAGTGAAGTTTCTAGAAAAAAAATATATCAAACGACGCAACGCACCTTGGGTCGCTATGGAAACAGTCTCCTTGTATAATTACAAGGGTAAGTTCTGTGTACAACTGACCCCCAGACCCCAACCTGTTGGGAATTATTGGGTATGTTGATGTTGATGATTTAATTATATGAATAATATTAAAGATTGAGTTAAAATTAAATTAGATTTTGAGTATGAAATAAATATGAGTAAATTAATTTGTAATCAATGCCCTAAGTTGACCTAACATTTTTCCGACCTGTGTTGTCGGATCTCCGACCGAGCTACCAGTCACGGTCATTTTAATTTGTTTCGTCTCTAAGACTCAATGAGATTTCAAAAATAGAATATATCATGGGTCATTTTAGTTTGTTACAATCCAAAAATTAATGAGATTTCAAATATATGTAGAGAAAATTCATCAAATTCAACCCCTGAACTTAAAATTTTCAAAGATTTCAAGTCAATAAAAAATAGAATCAGAGTTCTAAAATGTACTTCTAAATCTAAGACTAATACAAATCCAAAGATTCACCTGACTGTATTTGTTTCACATGGTACTGAAAGCTGAAAACTTTTAGCTCCTATAATTCACAAAATGGAGAAGATCATCACATGACAAAAAACAGAATTTCTTCAATTTACATCTCTTCAAAACTTCCTTTTTTCTTTGGCAATATTGTCAAACTTCTACCATGGCCGATTTCTACCTATACAAAATTAGAAACTAGTGAAGGATGACCGGTTATGGCGGTGCCACAATCCATCATAGCGGGATTTCAACCTGTTGTCATTTTCCACCATCTGCCATTGACAACATTGTTCTTTGGGCATAATCTGCATCCCTCAAACGGTATAAATATAAACGCAACAGAAAATAATTATAACCAAAAAAAAAAACATAGGAAAAACGAACCCTTACACAACCTTCTTGCTCTCGGAAAACGACATTCCCCGGTCTAACGATCGCAACTTGCTGTGGAGGCTCATATTTTCCTCGAGCAACCGGTCGTACTCGAGGAAAAGCCCTTCCGATTGCTTCTTTAGAGCGACTGCATTTGCTCCTTCACTGTTTGCCTCTACAGTCTTCTTCGTAAGCTCTGACTCGAGCTGCTTAATCCTCGAATATGATTCCGTTAACTCCTTTCTTAGAGCAATTGCATATGTTCCTGCACTGTTTGCTTCTTTAATCTTCTCTATAAGCTCTGTCTCGAGCTGCTTAATCCTTGCACCCGATTTAGTCATCTCCTCTTCCAATGCTTTGACTACTGTGGTAACTTGAGGCTTGCTGCCCTCGAAAATCTGGTTTAGCAGTCTGCGGATCATCAACGCAAGAAATAGCAAAAATCCTGAAAAAAAAAAAAAAGAACAATGTATAAAGAATGGATGCATGACATGGTGCAATGCGATCCTTCCAAAACGTCTCAGGTCTTGACATTATACAATATAGTAAGTTTCACTTCTTTCAAGCACATACGAATTATAGTAGTTGCGTATTAAAGATCAAACAAAGCAGTTGAGGTCCACATTAAAGTCCTAGATTGACAATATATGGAAGATAATTGCTTTAAACTTCAGTTGCCGCACAAAATTTTGAAGAACCTGAAGAGCTAAAACACACATTAACAAATTTTGAAGAACCTGAAGAGCTAAAACACACATTAACAAGGGTAATCTAACATTGTCTGAGCTCCTTACATTTATCAAACCGTAATTATTCATTCAAGTGAACATTGGGAATTGCGATCGTTCTGAAATTATACGACTTCTTGTAAATACATTAGCTTCTTCTCGGACTATGCTATATTAGAGTGCGATGTCTATGTAAAGTGCTTTAGTAATGAGATTCTCTTTTACAAATATTAACACTAGAACTCAAGATGATCGAGAACAAAAGGATCGGGTACCTTGAAAAAATTGATACGAACATCGAAACACACACCACATTATAAACCACACCAATTCATCTACTTCCATTATCAAAACCAGATTTCCTCTAATAACTGTACTTTCACATAGCACATTACACACTGAGAGAGGAAACAAGGAGACAGAATCTTTTCAACAAATCTGGTCAAGAGGAAGCCATTAAACCTGAAAGATGCCTAAGAACAACAACTATAAATCAATGAGCTCTTACAGCTAACACCACAACATTGATACGCCGGATAACACAAATTAGAACAGACAACTTCAATTATGCGCTCGCAGGAACAAAACAAAATAAATAAATAAATAAATAAGAAAGAGAGGGTAATTGTTTCGATTGATTACCCATGAGAGAAGCTTCGAAAGTCCGATCCGTCAGGCTGACCTCCTCACCTTCCCGGACACAACGCCTCTGGAGCGCCGCCGCACGGTACGATGCAGCCATCACCACCGCGAAAACCGTCGCCGACACTGCGTCGAAGAGAATCGGGCCCAGCCCGCGCTTGGACAGGCCAAGGCCCATTATCTGTCTTCTCTTTTCTTCTGTCTTCTATTTTCGTGTTTCTCTACAATGTTGAGTGGGGGTTTTAAAGAGCGGAGAGCTTTCTTAAGGTAGAAGAATGGGAGACTGTTTGGCATGTTAATATTGATGGCAAAAAGTAACTCTTAATTAATGGAAAAAAAAAATTATTGAAAAATTTAGAAGGGTATATTCAATTATGACTTTTAAGACTTTTGAAATATGGGTATTCAATTGAAACTTATTAAGACTCTAAAAAAGTTTACTTGTATTCGATTGATACATTTTAAGACTTTCCTTAATTCCTTAGATATATTTTTTTTATTTGACCACGCGAGATGTTATCTAAAAATAATTCCCAAATATCTCCCGTAGGAGTCCTTCAATTTCTCATCGGCCGCCTCCTCTCACCTGGGTTTTCCACGCGGCCCGGACGCCTACATCACCAGGCCGTGTGGTTCGTTCTCCAGTTGTCGCAGTTCCCTTCTCGTTGTAGAGTTTCGCCACACCTGACGGTCGTCTTCACCAATATGAGGGTTCCAATTGTGTCGAGATGCAACGAGATACGGGCCCCTCGCGACTTCTCGGCACTGGTAGAGGGATGAGGTATGATTCCCCACTTCCCTTTTGCCCGTCTCCCTAACTTTTTGGAGGTCGGTGGTGGTTTGACTGGTGCGGTTTGTGGGCAAACGATGGCTCATGCTGTCTTGCAGATGATGTAGGCTGGTTAGGGAGACGGGTGCCTTTCTCTGGTGGGGGTGGTCCGTCCGGGAGAAAATTTTGGTCGTCTAGTGCGGTTCCAACTAGCCGTGGCTACACTGGAATTTTTGGTTCGGTAATCGGGCCATGTTCTATCTGTTTGGCAGCTATCTCCGGGAGTCAGTCGCGGTGTGTTGCGGCTTTTTGTTGGCGGAGAGGAGAGTGTTATTCTATTGTTTGTTTCAATGGGTGAGTTGGTCTAGTTCTCTAGACTCCTATTGTCGGGATCCTTTCTAAATTCAACTAGATGGTCTTTTGGCTAGTTATAGTTTTTTTCTAGTTGTAATTATGGGTTTTATTTTATAAAGTGGGAAAATAATCCTTTAGATATATGAATTGGATCATAGCTTAGCCCAAAAAATTAATTATTATTATTATTATTTTTTTTTTTTTTCTGGCACGTCTATCTATTTCGAGCTTGTTATGGATAGCTCGTATGCCAGTTGATCAAACCGCTACACTAGCTCGTTTTTATTAATAATATACATGTGACTAATGCTTATATTTATTCGAGAAATTTAGTCTTATTCATGTTTGTCTATTAAGTACCAATATATTTCTTTTATTTTGAAGTTTATTTTCATATTGATATTTTTGAAAAATGTAATAGAACTCTTTTTTCTTTTATTGGTATAATGGACAATGTGTATTATTTATCAATATTATTTTATCATATGTGAAAAATAAAGATTAATTTTTTTGGCGGAAAGTCGTATTATTTTAAGTAAATACAAACATTTTTATATATATATACATAAAATAGCTAAAATGGTTTTGATGGAGATAAATATTAAGCACACACTAAGAGCATCTCCTATGAAGATTTTCTGGCAAGTTATTTTATCCAAAGAAAAGTGCAATAAAACAAAGGCAAGTCTTGTTTTTAAAACAGCTATGGGACTACACAAACAATGTTGCCACAGATTCTTTTCTCCCTCATACAAAGCTTAACCTTTGGTCAGCGCCATTGATCTTGCCCTTAGATTCAGAAAGATTGCCCTGCAAAAACCCAAAAAAAAAAAATGCATCGGTTCTCAAAAATCTATAAAACTAACTTGAGTTTTCGACTAATTAAGAGAGTCCAACGGTTCTTCAACAATTACAAACACCTCATCAATCCTCATATTTTCTCAACACGAACAACTCCATTTAGGATGTGATTATGTAAGAAGGAACAAACAAATTAGGTGTATTTTTGTGGTTAACCCTTAAACTCACATGAAAAATATGTATCTTGGATTCTTAACAAATCGAGGAAATTTTACGTACCAAAAACAGGCAACGACACTTTGGACAATAACTCGGAACTGTAATGGCACATATTGATGATTCACCCATCCAACCACAGGCCAAAACTGCATTAAAAAGTGAACGAAAGTGTAAATATAATTTCCTCTTTTTTTTCTTTCTTTTTTTTTTTTTAAAGTGACACTATGTACTATCACTTACAGTCCATGCCGTATACTGAACAGTTGGATATTCTTTCTTAATTTTAGACTTTACATGGATCCAAGGTCTGCCTGTGCATGTTATAGAACGAATGTAGGTGAAGAAAAAATTTCATCAGAATCAGATCAGAAAACTATCTAACTAGCTTCGTAGCTAATGCATTTTGATATAAAAAGTAGAGCAAACAAAGTTTTTTTTTTTCTTTCCAATAAATTCTGAGAGGAGACAAATACATATGATAAACGAACGTAAATGTGTTTTACCATGCTCGAGTCCTACAAAATTTCCTTGTATAAGAAGGTAAATTTTTTTCATTTGTAACGACTAGAAGATATATCAAGCTGAGAAGATGCTACATACATACTAACCTTCGATAACAAACCCATAATATAGCATGAAAAGCAAGTTGTTCCAAGGTGAAGATGTCAGTTGCTCGAGCACCACCTAAAATGATATCATGAGCATTTAATGTTCTTAAAATAGTTCAAAAATATTCATTTTTATCACAATATAACTTATAAACATCCATTACAAGAAAAGTTGGGCCCAAAAACTGCTATAAAATAGAAAAAAATGGAAAAGATAACTAAGACCTAAGTAGAGTTGTTAAATAATAATTAATTAAAAATATATATGTCTACCTTCTTTGCTACAGTCTTTTTATCCTTCCTTCCTCTGAATATTTTATCGAGCGCAATGTGAAAAAAATGCCCGAATGGACCAAGATATGCGGCCCCAAATATCTACATTTAGGTATTCAAAGTCAAAATGGAAATATATACAGAACTTAATGGCAAAGAAAGACTGTGAACAAGACGATATCTGCAAAGAAAAACTGCATTCAAAGAAAGAAAGTGCAGAATTGGAAATCAAATACAAGTTAGAACCTCCTTAACCGTGTGTTTTAAATTTCTATGATACAATTCACTATTAAAATCGTATAATCAAAGTTTAAGACGTAATTAGTAGCTATTAGCCGCAAAGCATTATTAATAGAAGGCCCACACGAGTGGCAAATAACAAGCCAGCCCTTTAACCTGTATAGTACACAGCACTCTGCAGCAGCAGACCTAATACATATATCATTCATTGCCTAACTAAGACTTTGCCTCATAGCTAATAAGAACCCAATGCATTCAACCACCAATCAAATAACTAATAGTCTAATTCATTGCTTTTATGCACCACTTGATTTCGGATAAATTGTCTAGTCCAGTAACAAAGTTATCAGTCTGCACGATTATTACTGATTTATGCAAAACAACAACAGTTATTTTGACCCATTTGCACTGATGTTTATTCCCAAAATTCAATAATTTCATGAGCCAAGTTAAAAAGACTATTACTTTCTCCATCACCAAAGCTTGAATATTAGAACCGGGGAAAGAGGACATGGTCCCACCAGATGAAGCGCACCATAAGAGGGTGAGCCTATATGCACCTTAGTGAGGTACTGTGCCAAAACCAATTGGTGATGGGAGGATTAACCCACTAGGCTTATATACTAGACTCGTTTTTCCTATAGAATCAATGTGGGACAACTCACAAGTGATACTCCAACATTGAAATCGATTAAAATGCCGAAGTCCATCTATCATCAGATGACCTAATTTGAGAATTAACACCACAATGCACATGATTAAATCGTAATTAACACAATCCCCATAAGAACAATACCACTTTGAGAAGAAGGCGTTTGAGCTGGAGCCTCGGAATGCCCGAAAGCTTCTGCGCGACTACATCACTAATCGCCGACAAAAATCCCGCTGTTATCACCTGAACATCATCATACTCATAAAAAAACAAAATCAAAAATCGGCAATCAAAACCCAGTAATAATCACAACTCAAAATCATGAGAAAAAACAGTGTAAATCAAACCGAAAAATGGGGGAAAAAAGAAGAGAAAAAAAAAAAAGGCGAGACCTTGGTTCTCAAAGGGTGTTGCTGCAGTTGTAGTAAATACTTTTGCAAGCCCATTTTACCAACTGATGCCATCTCTGATAAGTAATAATATCTGCACAAGGGTTTGGGTTTCTTGCTCTCGATTTTGGTAGTGCTGAATGAAGACGAAGATCGAAGAAAAATTACTCAAAAGAAATAGCGCTTTTTCTAACGTTTTTGGTGAAAGTGTGTACTTTTTGCATCTAGGATTTTTTTTATTCGAGGCTAGTTGAATATTCTGCATATATATTTTTCAGTTGACTTTCAGCATATTACATGATTTTATTATATCTCATCTCCTATATATAATTTCCGAATGTGCTGAGTTGATGTGGCAGAGTCCATGCTTCTTCGTGATGCTAGGTGTCAATGTTTCATGCTTCATCATTTGGTTTAGATCAATTTTAATTTAATTCTAATCCAAAATAATTAGGTCTGGATTACGTTGATTATTTATGACCATTTTAGATTTATTAATTGTATTTTAACCTATTATAAACCATTGAATCGTAAATGTATTTTAAAATATAATAACTTTTGAATTTCTTATCAGTTTTACATATATAGTATATCAAATTAATCATCTTTTGATGAGCTTCGAATTGACATCCATTTTTAGGTATAAAGTAAATAAATTATATTTATCTGTATAAATATAATAAAATTATTTATTAAAATCAATTAGAAAAATAAAATTATTTCTCAATTAATATATTCATGTTTAAAGTAGTTATATGTTATAAGTTAAAAAAATTATTATAATATAACGCACATAAGTCGCACAAATAACAAATGTCTTTTGAAAATATATTATAATATATAGTTATTATATATAGTATTAAAATTATAAATAACCTTATTAATTTTAAATTTTAAAGAAAAATTTTAACAAGCACCCGTGTAATACACGGGTGTTATACTAGCGGTGTAATTATTAAATAATTGTATTTCTTTGTATACTTATTTTAGATATCATACTTTAAACTATAATATAAATAATATTATGAAATTTATAGTATTAGATTATACTTTTATATAAAAATTATAGTTGTATAACAATTAGTCTATCTTGTGGCCAAGATTTTTTTTTTCTTTGTAGCCCTGTGCAGCTCCCTCCGCGTGGGGTCAAGCCATTCCGTTTCTTAGCCCCGTGGCTCTTACACGAAGGGTTTAAGGATGTGGTGGCCGAATGTTGACCAGCTAATAGGCGGTTTGTGGAAGCGGCCACTTCGTTTGCTAATGTGGCTAGGGACTGGAATTATCGCGTTTTTGGAAACATTTTTGAGAAAAAGAAGAAGCTCCTGGCACGGGTTGGAGGGATCCAGCACTCTCTACAGTATCGTAAGTCCTCTAGATTATCCCAACTGGAGAGGGTCTTGACGACGGAGCTTGAAGACGTTTTGCTCCAGAAAGAGGTCCCCATGATACAGAAAAGTCGAGGCGGGATTGGACCTTGTTCGGAGATTGTAATACTGCTTTTATCACAAACATGTAAACACGCGGAGGCGTATAAACAGAATTGTGGCCCTGCACAATAGCGATGGCAATTTGGTGACAGACCAAGAGGAGCTACATCAAATGGCGACTTCATATTTTCAGTCGATTTATTAGGCTGACCAGCCGTCCCCCCTCTCGCAGACGACATGGCCGAATTTTCCGCCCATAAGTGTACAGGCCTCGCGGCTGCTCCAGCATGAGGTATCGGATGGGGAAATTTATCGTGCTCTCTAGGATATGAGTCCGTTGAAAGCCCCGGGGGCGTATGGCTTAAACACTCTGTTCTTTCAGAGCCAATGGGGGAGCGTGGGGTCGTCTGTGTGTTAGTTGCTCAAAGAGGTGCTTCATGGTGGAGCCATGCCAGCCGAAGTAAACAAGACGTTGCTTGTTCTCATCCCTAAGAGGGACCATCCCAAATCGATTCAACACTTCCGACCCAGCAGCTAATTGAACGTCGTGTATAAACTAATGACAAAGGTGTTAACTAATAGGCTCAAACCTCTTCTTCCTGGGCTCATCGGGACTCGAGCTTTGTTCCAGTTCGACAAATTCATGATAACATAATAGTGGCCCAGGAGTTGATCCATTCCATGCGAATTAAAGTAGGGACCACGAGATTTATGGTGGTTAAAGTTGATCTTTAGAAGGCTTACGATTTCTTGCGATGGGAGTTTGTCGAGTCTACTCTTCTCTTGGCAGGGTTACCCTCGGCCTTTGTGATGGCGGTTATGACTTGCATTATCTCTGCTTCCATGCAAATCCTTTGGAACGGGGTCCCGGGGGAGGACTTTCGGCCGTCCAGAGGGGTCAGACAGAGCGAACGAATTTCTCTGTATTTATTTGTTCTTTGCATTGAACGCCTAGCTCACAACATTCAACGAGCTATAAACGACGGTGCGTGGAGACTGTTCACTGTAGGCGTGGTAGAGTGCAAGTTCCGTATTTACTGTTTTCGGATGATCTACTTTTATTCCTTGAAGCTTTGGTCGATCAGGCGTACGGTTCGGGAGGTCCTAGCCAATTTCTGCCACGACTCTGGTCTGCGGGTAAGTGAGCCCAAGACCACCATCTTACTTTCTAAGAATGTCCATCATGTTGATTGCCATTTGCTCTCGACTATGTTGGGGTTCACGAGGGTGGAGGACCTTGGCTATTATTTGGGTGTATCGATCCTCTATAGCAGGGTCAAGCGACAAAATTATGATAGAATTCTCGAAAGGGCCGAGACTCGCCTATCGGGCTGGAAGGCGGCGTCGTTATCTTTGGCGGGGAGGGTCGTCTTAACTCAAGCTGTGCTGAGCACGCTCCCTTATTATACAATGCAGTCAATACGCTTGCCCAACTCCATTTGCGAGGGTTTGGAACAATGTTGTCGGCGTTTTCTCTGGGAGGCTCCTCTGAAAAACGCAAAATTAGCCTAGTCAAATGGGAAGATGTGTGTAAGGCCCGTGACGTAGGGGGTCTAGGACTCAAACGACAAAGGACGATGAACGATGCATCATTGATGAAACTTGGATGGAAATTTCTCACAAATCCAACCGCACTTTGGGTCTGTATTTGGAAAGCAAAGTATAGAGAACACCCGTTTAGCATTGACTCGGGCTATAGGGGCCCAAGTTCACCAGTTATGCAATCGGTTTGGAAAGTGTCGCCGCGAGTTGTTGCGGGGATCCGATGGGCCATTTGTGATGGTCGAACAACGAAGTTTTGGACGGATTGTTGGCTTCCGTCGGGGAATATTTTAATTTTTGTAGCTACAGTGGTGATTCCCCGGGACATATGGGACCAGCCCATCTGTTTCTTCACCTCGGCTGGGGGTGAATGGAGTTGGTCTGCATTTTCGCCTATGCTTCCGGCGTCTGTTTTACTCTAGATTGCGGCGGTCTCGACACCGAGTTCGGCACGGGGACGAGACCGGCTATATTGGGGCCACTCTTCAACCGGGGCTTTCTTCACCAAGTCCGCGTACAACTTGCTCGTGGAGGGTGGTTCCCCGTCTGCGTGGACTCTTTGGAAAGCGATTTGGACATGGCCGGGACCTCCACGTATACGAACCTTTCTTTGGCTGCTAACGAGGAATAGGCTCCTTACGACCTCATAAATGTGCCGGCGGCACTTGAAGAATTCGA